GTTTGAGACCAGCCTGGCCAACATGGCGAAACCCCATCTCTACTAAAAATACAAAAAAATTAGCTGGGCGTGGTGGCGGGTGCCTATAATCCCAGCTACTTCAGAGGCTGAGGCAGGAGAGTCGCTTGAACCCAGGAGGTGGAGGTTGCAGTGAGGCGAGAGCACACCACTGCACTCCAGCCTGGGCAACAGAGTGAGACTCCATCTAAAAAAAAAAAAAAAAAAAGCAGCCACCGAGGCTTAATGACTTCTGTTGTACTTAGCAGGCTCTGTTATCCTTCATTTATAGTACAAGTTAAGTATCCATTACCCAAAGTGCTCCAACATTTGAAACTTTTCGAGTGCTGACTTGACACTCAAAGGAAATTCCCCTTAGAGCAGTTCAGATTTTGGAGTTTTGGATTAGCGATGCTCAACCTGTATGCTGTGTTTTCTTCCCTAGATGAAAATAAACCCATCTGGATGCATGCTGAAGAAAGAGAAGAATGCAAAGTAAGAATGTATTATTTTGAGATTTTCTAAATTGTATATCCTGCATTCAGGATAATTATTCATTTGAAATTATTTGTTGCAATTTAGGGAAAGCAAAAGGATGGGACGTCTTTTGGAGAGTATGGCGGCTGGTACAAAGCCTGCAAAGTTGATAGGTATGTCTGGAATCGCGTTTGGCTGGAAAAACTGAAAAGCAGTGGGAAGGTAATTGTGTTCTACAGGGCAGCTTATAAATAACCGATGTATAGTGTTCCTTAAGTGCACAGTCCCATGTTTTTCCCAAATTCCAATGTAAAAAACCCCACTAACTTTGTAAATGAGATCATTTACATGTATAAAACCCACCATCATATTAGGCTGGTGCAAAGGTAATTGCCTTACTTTTACATTTAATGGTAGAAACCATACAGTAAATTCATGACAAGCGTGCCAGCGGGCCTGGGAAGGCCAGCCCCTCACACACAGCACTGGAGACACAGATCCACACACACTTCTTTTCCTCATGGCCCATGGGGCCTTGTCCTCTTCAGAGGGAAGTGTAGGCCCCTCCATGGCCAGCCCTAGAGCCTTGCCTCTTGAGCCTGAGCCTGTGCCGACTGCCGTCTGTGATGGCTGCCGTACCTGGGTCCAGGTGGCCCACCTGTTTTACTGCTTTTCCGCTCTTTTTTTTTTTTTTTTTTTTTT